TTTTCTGTTTATAATTTGTAAATACATAAAAGTTCATAAAAATGTTAGTTCTGCCCTAGGTTGGTGACATAGTGCCCACATTCCATTTTGCTTATGTTGCTATCAGCATTTTTAGCTTTCTTAGTGTTTGCCAAGTTTCTATTTTCCTCGGAGGATATTCCCATGCCTGTATTCTTCCCACATTTCATAGTTAAACCAACTGTGCCCAAAATTTAAAAGATCTGTCCCTGTTTTAAAGGAAAACTATAGTTGTAAAATAAGTTTGCCTATTTAAATACAGTATGTTAATTATTTCGGAATAAAGTAAACCTGAACTCAAAAAGTTAGTAATGTTAATTGTGCCTAAGCCATACAGTGAAAAAAAATTACCTTTTGTCTTGAAATCCTTCTAAAAAGGAGCAGTGCATTTCCCAACATGTAACTATGCCTAGGCACTTCTGATCTGTAGACTCATAACTGTATGTCTGCAGAGCGAGATGATCTAAGGCCTTGTTTCTCAACTGGTAGGTCGTGACCCAAAAGTGGGTCGTGACCCAGTGTTCAGTGGGTCACACATGCCTTCCACTTTTCTAGGTGAGAGGCTCCTCAGCCTCCCTCTAGCGCAGCACTGTCAGTTCTCATACCAAGCAGCCATTCAAAATATGCTGCCCGGTGTAGAGTGTCAGCTTGAGGTGGGGCGGGATGGGGCTATGGCCGTGAGGGGGCTCCATCTATACCTGCATTGCTCACAGCACCCCCATGGGCCCTGTAGAGGTACCTGGACCAGAGTGACGTCACATTCTGGCTCCTGGCACCTCTACAGGGCACACGAGGGAGCTGTACAAGAAATGCACATATGGATGGAGCTCCAGCACAGCAGCCCACACTGGAGCTAGGCTGAGGATCCACTCCAGTTCTCATAAGATAGGGAGACTGGGTGGATCTTAAAAAAACAACCCAAAATTATATTTTTTGTGGAGTACGCATGTGCGTGTGAGATTGTCTGTTAGTGTGTGAGATTGTGTCTGTGGTTGTGTGTGTCTGTTTAGTGTTTTTTAGGGCCCGTTCACACTAGTACAGTGCTTTCATCGCAGAGTCCCGTGCGATTAACGCATCTTGCCATGCAATCGCACCTACCACACATTCTGGTGTGGGAGGTGTGTTGCATTACCATTCATTTGAATCACCCACACCGGAAGGCACGGTACCGCAATGCCGTGTGTTCCAGTGCGTTGTGTGACTCGGGTCACAACTTAATAACCAAGGACAAATGTGGGTCCTGAGGTTACACAGGTTGAGAACCACTGATCTAAGGCAATGCTGTGTCTGACTGCTAGTCTTATGAGATGTGGACTGAAGGGTAGCAATATCACTATTGTGCTGCTCACTGCTCTTCTGAAAGCCAAGGAGGAAGCTTTACCCGATATCCCGCAGTGCAAGGAACTTACTGCTTCTACTTCATTCATTTTGCGGATCTGTGCTTCATCAACCCTACTTACTGCTTCTTAAAAATACACCCCTAGTCATCAGATCACCAGTTAATGAGGGGCTGCCCTGTAATGAGGAATCAAAACCCTCCTTCTTTACCAAGATGACCGTCTCCACAGTTTTAAACCGGCATGTATGCAGCATGGGGTGTTTCATTATTATTTGCCCTTATGCTTTATAGCCATATATTTTCAGATTTTCTGCCTTTGCAAACCTTCCTTTGAAAATTGTAGTTGCCTCTCAGACCCTGACTTCAATAATTTCTTAGATACTGACCCAGAACAAGCTTGCAGATCAGGAATGTCAAGGTGGAGTCATAGCTACTAATTTGAATACTTGTTTAGGTTGAGGGCTCAGAACGCACTGGAACCACTGGATTCACATGTTAGCCAGGGAATTAGTATTCTCCCAATGGAAGGTCAACTATGGCAGCCTCCATGATTCTTTAGTGCAGCTCACAGAGTTTAATTACAAGACTATTAAAGGAGAACTATGGGGTCAGTGTTTTTCCCCATAGTTCTCCTTAGGGTAACGGGAGGACACAAACTAGCGTCCTCCCGTTAGCCTAAGCTCAGTATACCGCGAGCTACAGCTTGCGGTATACTGAGACACCGCAGCCGGAGCGGATCCCGATGTAGATGACGGGATCCGCCCAGCTGCGTGAGTGACAGGTGGCTCTGCCTATCTAGAGGCAGAGCCAGCTGTACCTGCTCCCTCCCCCGTCCGTTCCGCCAGTCAGCACTGGCAGATCGGAGCGGGGAGAGGGGAATCCAGCCCCTCCCCCTGTCACGGCAGAGAGCCGTGACAGGATCGAGAGGCGAGCAACCCCGGTATGTGTTCGCTCACCTCCCGATCTACTGAGCCGACCTGTGACAGTCTCATTGTCACAGGTCGGCTAGAACTATGAGGTGAGTGAAAAGCACTCACCTCATAGTTCTCCTTTAAAGCTTCAGCATTCAGATGAAAAGAACATTGCCTTGCCCAAAGTATTTCAAAGGTGACAGCCGTCAGCAAAACAGCAAAACAGTAGGACAAATAACTTGCTGAAGAAACATTTTATTTATATACACTTCATTTTATTGATAATTCAGACTTACTGTTTAGCTCAGAAATATATTTGCTTTTGACATATATTAATATCCAATAGTGGGTATACTTCATTTGTAAGCACCAGTATTATATAGTAGTCAAGTGTGCATGTTAGAATTGGATTTAGGATGGCTTCAGAGTAATTAGATCTTGCAAGCACTTTCCAGCTCCTTTACCTTTATTTACTAAAAGGCCATCTCCACACAAAACTGTCCATGCTTTTGATGCTGAATCACTTGCTGACTTCTTACGTCACCAGCACTTTAGATATCCTTACCAGAGTTTGCAGTTGTGCTGATTGCTGTAGGCAATACAGAATCAAATGATGGAGTCACAGTGATTTGAAGGGTAAATAATTGGGGATCCCCAGCTATGAGTGGGTGATTCCTTCCTTATTGCCTTGTGGGAGGGGATAGGGGCACAAACAACTGCAGGAGAATCTTGCCATTGGAGGCTATAAGGGATATGAGAAGCCAGAGGGCATTCTGCCAAAATAAAACTTAAACTGGGTGGAATTCAACTTTATTACGCCGTCCACTTGAAATGTATATTTTTCGGCTGAGGGTGTTACTAGGCTAAATGCTCTGACTTCCTATGGAGTCCAGGTCATAAATCTCGCTGTCATAATTCCTCCACTCTTTACCTCTCAGACACAGAGTCTCTCTTCTGCTGTATTCCCATTTACATTACAAGAAGAACTCCAGGATTTTTTTTTAACCCTTGCAGCGGGGCTACCCCTGCAATGCAAGGGTTAAGTGCTTGTTTGTGTTTTCCTGAAGATCTTCTTTAAAAGAGAACTAAGGGGTAACCTTCTTATCCCATAGTTCTCTTCAGGGTCAGGGGAGGACATATACTAACGTCCTCCCATTTCCCATAGCTCAGTATATAGCGCGCTATAGTTTGCGATATACTGAGAGCGCCGCAGCCAGGACGGATCCCAACAATACTATCGAGATCCACCCAGCTGGCTGATTGACGGCGAGCTCTGACTATCTAGAGCAGAGTCAGCTGTGCCCGCCCACTCCCCCGTCCATTCCTCCAATCAGCTCTGGGGGATCGGAGAGGGGGGAATCCCTGCAGGGAGCAATGACTGACAGTCGCCGCTCTCTGCAGGGAGATCATCGGGAAGTGAGCAGATCGGCGGTATGTGTTCCCTCACTTCCTGATCAATAGAGCCGACGTGTGACAGTTTCCATTTCACAGGTTGGCTCTAACCATGAGGATGAGTGGAAATCAATCACCTCATAGTTCTCCTTTAAGTAAAACAAAAAATCTACTAGGGAAGTGAGACCCTTATGTTGTGGTCGCAGCAAGTGGGATTATTCCTAAAGAAGCTGTTAGATGTTGGTTTGTAATATCTGACATCAAAATGCACCAGAATGAGGAGAAATTACATAAAAATGTTATATATTCATATCTATTTGAACCCCTTGAAATTGTTTTCATCCAATGTATCACTTTCTCCAATCCCATTCTTTTGCATTACAAAATACTCTCTTTTTTCAAATACATTCATTCTCTCCTTGGCCACAGATTCCCTGTGGTAATATTTAGCAATTATGTATACAAACATACAGTATATATATATGTATATTAAAGCAATAAGGCACAAAGGTGACCTGCAGCTCATCTTTCATTCAGTGAGAAAAGCAGAAGATATAAAGCTCAACGGTTATTTTCTAGCGTGGGTTATCATGGATGAATATATCAAACAATACAGGACAAAAAGATGTGCAGAACATTGCAAGTACTGTTACAATTGGTCTATAGGATGTGATCTGCAAGGGTTCTTTGTGTTATTGAGGAGCCTTAGTGGCACATTGGTGGAATGTCTCTTTAATATCTTCACTATTATACTATTCTTGCCAGTTGATGACAGAGATCTGAGCTTCAGTTGCACAGGACGAAATGTATTGTATTATTTAAGCAGACAAAGTGTATTCAAAGACAATTTACTTGTGTTAGTATCAATGTTCCTGTCAACCTGTTCTGGTGACGGACATTAAGTTTGTGAACATGCAAAAGGTTGGGTTTTGGCAACAAAGGAAGGATTGAAAAACAAAATTATAAGCATGAAAGCATAACTTGGTGGAATTATTCAGCAGAACCTTTCTGCCTCCTCTTGGATGGTGGGATCAGGTGGTTAGGTAATTCTGAGGGTAGACCATGCCCATCCAGTTTAACTTCAATTAAATGGCTTGCCAAGGCAAACTCTTCATCATCCAGCATACCATCCCGATCGACATCAGAAAGCTTCCATATCTTGCCTAGTACAGAATTGGGCAACTTAGTGGTAATCATCCAGTTTTTGGCTTTGGTGCCAGTTAATTTGCCATCAGCGGGTGCCAAGTTGAAGAAGATTTCATCATATTTAGACTTGTCTTTGGTAACTACCCAGTCTTCATCATCAAGGCCTTCAAAGATTCCATCAATAGAGCCTTCCATAAAAGGACCATTGTGGGTTCCCTCAAAGGCTCCTCCTTGTACTATATTGTCAATAGTATCCAAGTCTTCCTGCTTCAGCAGTGGCATGAGTTTTGCAATGTCAATTGTCAGCATCCCATCCAAAATATCAATCATATTTAGCTTCAATGAATGAAATTTTGTGAAGTCATGAATCATTAGCTGCTCCTGTTGAGTGATAAAAAAAAAAAGAAAAAAGCGATATAAAAAGAGCATTTATAAAACTGAATTATTGCTTTCTCTGTTTAGGCATTGCTGCAAAAAATCACTTATTGCCATATGGGATTCAGGCATGGTAGCCTTTGGCACATTATTACTGCCAATAAATGTGCACAGGGCTGTCACATAGTAGACACAAACAGCGCACCCATGCTTCATTATAGTGGAAACTGCTTTGCCTGTTCTTGTGAGTGCTGTTCTGGAACGTTTAGCTAATTTGACAGATGTATGTTCTGAAAATAGGTTTGCCATTTGGCCTGACACCAGCAATGCTGGCCAATCACACTGCACATGCACCATCTTCGCAGTTCAGGTCATAAATACACATACTCCCATGTTCTTTAAAAGAGAACTGTGGGGTAAGTGTTTTCCCCCATAGTTCTCTTAAGGGTCACTGGAGGACATAAACTAGCATCCTCCTGTGACCCAATTCTCAGTATATCGAGAGCTGCGGTATACTGAGACCGCTGCAGCCGGGACGGATCCCGTCAATGCTGTCGAGATCCACCGAGCTGCGTGAATGACGCTGGCTCTGCCTATCTAGAGGCAGAGCCAGCTGTACCCGCCCGCTCCCCCGTCTGTTCCTCCAGTCAGCACTGGAGGATCTGAGAGGGGAGGGGGGAATCCCTGCGGAGAGCGATGACTGACAGTCACGGCTCTCTGCGGGGAGATGATCAAGAAGTGAGCGAGCGACGGTATGTGTTCACTTACTTCCCGATTTATTGAGCCGACGTGTGACAGTTTAATTGTCACGCGTCGGCTCGAACTATGAGGATGAGTGATTTTCACTCACCTCATAGTTCTCCTTTAAAAAATGTAAATCAGTTACTCTAAATACCTGCTTCCAGCGTTTATCGTTTCTATAAACAATTTTTATTGATTTGCAATGTGCATCTGAACTTGCTAGCAAATTTAACTACTTTTCTGGGAATGTCTAATCACGGTCTGTGCTGACCAAGCTCCTTTGCCTCTCCCCACAGCTGCCTACATAGATTTTAATGTAGCAGTTTCTACTTAAAGTTACAATAAAGGATAACCCCCCCCCATGTTGCTCTAAGGACTTACCTTAAATTATGCCTCTTGATCCGATCATCTTCTTCTTTCCAGTAGTTTTCAGGACTCCCCCCGGCGCTGGTGCCGGTCTCTGATCCAGCGCTGACTGCTGTTTCTTTCTGTGCCGCAGAGTCTGCGCGCATGCATGCTGCCGGGCTGCTTGCATTGACTTACCTTGTGTCTCTCCTCTTCTCCCAGCTGAAGATCTCTACTGTGCATGGGCCCGGCCCATGATCCTTCGCGGCCGCTCGATAATTTTTCAGCTCTTCAGATGGGAGCGAGCAGCAAAAAAACAGATCAGTAAAACCCTTTTTGGTAACTTTAAAAAAAAAAATTTTTACATATATCTACTGCTTGTTAGCAGAACATACATGCAAAAAAAACCCCCAGAGAGTTTAATCTCAGTTTAATATTAGCACTGTGGGCTTCCCTGTTGCTGGTGGTTAGCCAGCAGAACAGATTCATGTGCTGTTCAGTTTGCTAGACAGCCAATAACCTCAGGCAGGGAAGTGAGCATTCTAGTGCTGGTTGTCAAGCAGTGATTATGAGGACTAAACTGACTTTTCAGAGCACTTTGCAGAAGAATAAATGGAACTGTTTTCTACTTCTGAGATATGGAATGCTGTCATGAGATGACTGCTATTTATTGCCCTGCACTCACTGCCACTTTGCAGTGCTTTAACAAAAAAACAGAGGACCTGGTTAACGAAAACCTGTCACAACCACACATTTCCATTGCAACCCTCTCCCTTCACGTCCTTGGCACCTTATATGAAAAATATGATTTAAAATAGCATCCAAGGTGGGCTTTTGTCTTAACCTAAGCTAAGTCTGCATGGACTTACCTGCATTTTGGCACAGTCGGGAAAATCTCCAGGGGAGATGTGATGTTCTAGCTGTATTTTGGCATAAATAACAGGTAACTCTGCAATTAGCTGCTTCTTCTTGTTTCCTTTACGGAATACGGACGGCATTTCCTTCTTCAAGTAGCTGATAATGTGAGCATGAACCTGTGCGGAGCACAAAAATCAAACTCATTAACCTGTACACCTATCGCATGAGAAGTTCTTTTATGTAACAGCTACTAATAACATTTACAGATATATATGAAGCTTCCCATCAAAGAAAGTCCATTGAATTCACTTAAATCAGAATTCTATGCAATACAGTGTAGTCAGATTTCAAAGGAATCTTCACATGCAGAGTGGACTCTAACACTTTGATAGAGTGGGATTACTGTATATCTGAGAGACCAAGGAGCCTACTCTGGTTGTGTTCTTGCTCAGGGCTGCAGGTTGTATCTAAGCACAGCTGTAGTATTGTACTGTTACTGTCCATTCTGGCTCTCGTCAATGATCTGGGAACCCCTTTTTCCACCCGTGTTTAAATATATGTAGAGGTATTCCCAAAAACACCCACCTGTCTCTTATATACAAAAGGCTTATGTATCAAATTGTGAACACTAAAGTTCCTCACATCTACCAAACAGATTCACACCTGCCTTGGAAGTTTGAATTGGATTGGTGACTCATCAAGCAGAGACATTTAGGTACAAAGGACATTCTTTAGGTAATAGACCCATTCATACCACATACCTCTAGCTCCCTCGACAACCCCTCCCATGCTCGCCTCCAGGGCTTCTCTAGAGCCTCTCCCATTCTTTGGAACTCCTTACCCCAACCTGACCGTCTATCTCCCACTCTGACTGCCTTTCGTCGATCACTAAAGACTCATCTCTTTAGGGAAGCCTATCACACTTCAAACTAACCACGGAACTCTTTCTCAAACAATTCATCCCCACACAGCTACCTCCTCATGTATCACTTGCCCCTCCCTCTTAGATTGTAAGCCCTCGTGGGCAGGGCCCTCCTAACCATCTTGTGTTGAATTGTATTGTAATTGTAATGTCCTCCTTTTATTATAAAGTGATGCACAAACTGTATGTGCTATATAAATCCTGTATAATAATATGAGGATCACTGTGAAATCTGGAGTTGGATTACAAACATATCAGACTAATTGAACAATTTCATTTTAGAACGGTTATAGTGTTTTCTATATACCAATAATAGTTCAAGGCAAACAGATGAAGTCACATACATATAGGGATTGCCAAAGGACTTGTATTACTTTCCACCCAGGCCTGAGATTTACACAGCCCTGCCATATAGCAAAGACAGGCGGATGACACTAGTTAAGTAATACTGCGGTGTCCTATCTCCACCTCCAGCCTACTGACTGAACAATGGAAGGACAGCAGCAGACTGGTGAGGTCAACCAACTTGCTGCTATCAGCATGTTTTTTGTTAGCACATTTGCTGACATTACACCTGATTTGATCTCTGTTCTTCCTTTCCTTCTCCTAGCCTAAATGCTACTGTATAGGGAATGGCAAGTTGCGGATGCCAAGTCAAATTGAGGTTCTTACTCTAGTTACTAGCTTAAATGCATTTAGTTGGATCTTGCTGCCAACAGCTTCCAATACTTAGGGTGCCCATAAATATTAGATGACAGCCCCCCAATCATGCTGTTTTGTTGGTTTGGGTAGACATCTTTTATTCCTAAAATACCCTCAGACATGCCTTTAGGAGATGGTGACTGGACAGTTTAGAAGCCATCCATGAAACCATGCATCTCTCATTCTATTTTCCAATGCATAAACAGGAAAGCTTGTGTGACCATTCCGGTTTAGAGCAGAAACTTTGTTTGCAGACTTCATGATACAGTTCGATTGTGCATGCAAATCTGTCCTTTGTCTTATGTCTAGCTTTACAATGGCCTTTTAGTATTGTGCAGGTCTTTGTGGATAAAACTGTGTGGAATGGAATGGTTTGTTAGCCTGGAACCCACTGGGGAAGACTTTATCCAATCAGCAAAAAAGCAGGCACGTATAAACTTATTTTCACTGCATGTTAATGACTAAAACGTTCTGTCTTGTTAATTTGTGGCTTTTGTGATGCACATTGATCATTGTATTGGGCTGAAGCACCTGTTTGTAGGAGGATGCAACCAAATTAGCGGTAAAGGTCTCTATCATTGCAGTTGCCTCCCCTTCACTGTTTGTCGTCTTCATCCTTTCCATGAAAAGACATAACACTTGGCACAGACAAGCTCAAGAATAAACTGTGCGGCTAGCACTTCTAGTGTCTCCTCTCTGTCCACGTCACTGTCCGTCTGTCAGCATCCTGTTCTCTTCCTGCTAAGGAAGCCTGGAGCATTCTCTGGAGTTGGCAGCGAGTACCAGAGACCGTAATATTAATAAAGAGAATGGTAGGAAGACCAAGAGGGAGGGAGCGTGGGACATCTAACACTTCAAGGGGACAGGATGACCGAAAGGATCTGAGCTTCCTCTGGGACTGACACCATTAGTGACACAGACACACTTATCTCTTTCAGATGTGACAGGAACCATCAGATCAGAGATAAGATAGCACTCTCCCCAACCACTGCCAATTGCTTATACTCAGTTCCAATATTAGGCTGGGTTCACACCTGGGCGTACGGAATATGCGCGTTTGCTGCGCGTTACGTGTTGCACGGTTTTACTGCGATTTGCGGTAACAGAAACGCGCGTTTACGAGGGCTATCCGGCTGTATCCTAATGGATACGCGTGGCAAATACGCCCCAAAAGAAGCTCCTGTACTTCTTTGGGTGTAGGGCGTTTTACAGCGCGTTCCTACGCGATTTAAAACGCCCAGGTGGGAACCATGCCTATAGGCAATTATTGGTTTTCACATGTTGAGCGTTTTACAGCGCGTAGGAATGCGCTGTAAAACGCCCAGGTGTGAACCAGGCCTTACATGCACTATGCCCTTCTACTGCCTTTATAGAAAGAGAAATACATTAACTTTTTTTTAGAGATGGCAATTCACGGAGGCGTATGTGCTGTCTTTTCTCCAAATGCATTCTGGTATCCTAAAAATTACTTTTGACAGGTCCACTTTTTCTGGCATCTCCCTTTCCTGGTGTGGAGGGACACTCAAAGTTGTCCTTTAAGTTGACCCTCCTCAGTATAATCTACATTGATAAATTCTTACTTTTAGCCCTGCTCTGAAGATCATCACTGTACTGCTCTGTCTGGCACTGCAGAGCCTTGCACAAAAAAAGTCCATGCCGTATCCTGTGCTTACTCTAGAGAAGTACAGACCAGCCATGGGTAGGAATAGGGCCGCATCACTTGAGCAGCAAGTACAGGGCCCAGCACTGGACCATGAAGATCTCCTGAGAGAACTAAAGGTAAGTATTTTTTAACATGTGTGTTACACTGAGGGGTGGGGGGGTGAGCTATAAAGGGCAACTCCACTAAAGGTTGTGTGCCAATAAGTTGTCACATTCAAACTGAGAGTTAAAATTAGGTTTACAGTGGGAACATCTGCTGTGTACGTTGGTGGGCACAGCAGGTAGGAGGTTCTAAGGTGCTCCTAGAGGAAGGAAGATCAGGCTGGGATTTTCTAAGGGAAAATGGTCACAAAGTACAATTAGAGGGGTGAATCTCTCCAGTGAGGACATAGACAGCCTGGCCAACTTGCAAGGGGGCCTATCCCTTCCCTACTCTATCTAAAAAAAAAGTTTTTAATAACATAAATAGTTCTTCAAGTGAGAAGGAGCCACAGCTTAGAGGTACATCCCATAGTATGCAGGGAAATCATGGACCTTGCCTGCCCTGATTATTTGCTGTGATACGTTTTTTTCCCACTGTGTACCGGACAAAACTCAGATCATAAATTTTGTATCTCTTTCCTGCACTTTGAGTCACGTAAATTCCTCTGACCTATATAAGACCCCAAACACAAACTTCAGAGACCTTTACAATCCTTGAACCTGAAGACAAATATGCCTTAAAACCTTAAATAGATCCAATATCCTGAACCCATTAAGATGTATGAGATACTGTATATAAATACTACAAACATGGAGGCTAACAAATCATAACTAGAAGACAATCTAAACCCAGCAAGAGTGTAACAAGAGTTCACAGCAGATCTGGTGGGTTGGAAACTTACATCTAATTCCACTTTTTTCTAAAGCTCCTTGTTTACGCAACCCACCCATGCTTAAAGTGACACTAAACTCAGGAATTAAATATTACAAGTGAATTCAAGTACCTAAACTAGTGACAAAAATGTATCTTATTTGTGTATCACACGGCTGTAGATCCTCAAATCATCTCTGAATTGGAGCTGACACTGTCCTTCCTTCTGGAGGGTGGCTACTTTTGTTCCCCATGGTCCCTGTGTGTGTTGTAAAGTAGTCACCGCTCCAAGCTCATTCCCGTGATGAACTACAATCTCAATACAAATTAGTTAATTAAATGTGAGATTGTAGTCCATCTGCTAGTGATCGGTGACTACTTTACAACACACACGAGGACCATGGGGAACCAAAATAGCCACCCTCCAGAAGGAAGGACAGTGTCAGCTCAAATTTAGAGAAGTTTTGAGGATCTACAACCGAGTGATACACAAAAAGGCACATTGTTGTTAATAGTTAGGGTACTTGAATGCATTTTTAGTCTTTACTCCTGAGTTTAGTGTCACTTTAGGGTATACAGTGTTCATGTGGGTGATTTAAGGGGAATGGAGCAAAAGAAATTATGTTTTCTACAACACTTATTGAGAATGCTTCTTCCATTCACCTCACAGCATCTGATTGCTGGGGACAAAACCAAGGTTTCACAAATCAGCCCCACTTACAGTATTGGCAGATAAAAGAAATATGTTTATTATCAAAGAAAGGTTGTTTTATACCTTGTTTCTTGGTAATTACTACAGCCATGTGCTGCCCCTCATTTGTCTCCATAATCTTTAGCTGTGAAGGTTCTCAGTTATCCAGGCATACCTAGAAGTGGTTCAACTGGACCTAGAAGTCACATTCAACTGGACTTGTTCTATAATTTTGAAGATGTTTTGATATCGATTCAAGTAGCTTCTTCAGTTCTAATGAGTGCCTGGAACATACCCCAGTATGTTTTTGACACCAGTTGGAATAAAAAAGGCTCCTTGGATGAAT